TCTCTCTCTTTCTTCCTTCTTTCTTCCTCTTTCTTCTTGGCTGTTATCAGACTAACAGAACTCAAAGGCAGGTCGAATTATAACAGTTCCAATTACTCATCTCCAATTTGTAGATGATATCATAATTTTTTGTGAAGGGGGAGACATTAGGAGAGTGAGGAGATTGAAAGAACTGATTAAGAAGTTTGAATAAGTTTCCAATCTGAAAATAAACTTAAATAAGAGTTGCATAGCAGGGGTTAATATGGAGGAGAATGACCTGAGCTTGATGGCAAATTGCTTAGAGTGTCATATCACCCCTAGATGCAAACCCAAAGGAAAGCAGTTTTTGGAACCCAGTTGTAGAAAGAAGTAAAAAGAGGTTGGCTGGTTTGAAGAGAAATTATATCTCTTTGGGAGGTAGGATTACTCTAATAAGATCTACATTGGCTAACCTACCAATCTATTTCCTCTCTGTTTTTAGGATCCCACCAAGGGAGGAAAAGAAACTGGAAAAAATCATGAGAGACTTTCTTTGGGATCCAGGAGAGGTCAGGAAAGATCGCTTAGTAAATTGGGAGGTGGTGTGTAGAAGCAAGGAAGAGGGTGGATTAGGTATTGGGAATGTAAGAAAGAAAAATACAGCACTCCTAGGGAAATGGTTATGGAGATGGCCTTTAGAGAGGGAAAATTCGTGGGTTGAGATGGTGGCTAGCATACATGGCAGATCGGAGAATGGTTGGGATGCTGGTGTATCACGAAGGGCTACCTTGGCAGCACCTTGGAAGGCGACACATAGCCTCCTCCCTCAATTCCTCAAGTATATCAGGTGTGATATTTGCTCAAGGAATTTAATTCGTTTTTGGGAAGACATCTAGTTTAGTAACCGGCCTTTAAAGGAGTTGTTCCCCTCTTTGTATTCTATCTCTTTATACAGAAATGAGGTGATCTCCAATTTTCTTGTTCTTCCTTCTTTGCCTTTGAAACTTAATTGGGATCTTGGGTTTCGGAGGGGGTTGAGGGACGAGGAGGCTAATTGTTTGTCAGAGCTTCTCCTTCTCCTTGATAAAGCTTGCTTAGAGCCTACATCCCAATAGAAGACTTTGGTGCCTAAACCCTAAAGGCCTTTTTTCTTGTGCATCCTTTTTAAAGCTCTTTGCCGGTCCCCCTCCTCTTTGTCCTTTCCTTGGAAAGAAATTTGGGTTCATCCGATTCCCCCTAAAATTAAGGCTTTTTGTTAGAAAGTGGCTCTTGGGAAAATTAACACGTTGGATTCATTGCAAAAGAAAAGACCTTCTCTATGTATTTCCCAAAATTGGTGCTCTCTATGTAAATGCGACGGTGAATCTTGCTTTCATCTACTAATTTCTTGCTCATTTGTTAAAGAAATCTGAGATCGGTTTTTCTCCTTGTTTGGGTGTAGGTGGAATATGCCAACGGAGATTAAAATGTTGTTTGATCCATCAACCTTTGGATTGCCAAAGAGAAGGGGAAGAATAATGTGGAGATGCACTAGAGCAGTAGTGATCTGGACATTATGGGAAGAAAGAAATGCAAGAATCTTCCAAGAGAAGGAAAGAAGTGAACAACAAATTATGGAGTGTGTTATGACCAGGTTTATACATTGGTTGCAAACATTGGACCTCTACAAATATTTCTCTTTTGATGATATATGGAGGAATTGGAGCTTCATAGCCTTTAGTGCAGTACAAAAAATTAAAGCAAGGTCAGTTTGGAATCCTCCAATTGAAGATTGGCTGAAACTAAACTTTGATGGGAGCAGCCAAGGCAACTCAGGTCCGTTTGGCATAGGAAGGGCTGTAAGAGACAAGGAAGGAAATTTAAAAGCCATCTTTTCAGGACCAATGGGACATGGAGACTCTTTAAAGGCAGAACTATATGCAGCCCTACAAGGCATTCAGATTGCAAGAGATTTAGGAGTGGAGAAATTGATGATAGAAGGGAACTCCAAGGTGGTGGTGGGTTGGCTAAAGAACCCAGATTCAATGATTTGGTGTTACAGAAATGAAATGAAGAAGTTCAAATGGCTCACTCAACAGATGATTTTAATTATACAGTGGGTGGGAAGGGAGGGCAATGAACTGGCTGATTCTCTAGCTAAGCAAGGGGTAACTAGGGATCAGATGTACTGGGCCCATTTGTAAATCTTCTATGTATTTTTGTTAAAAAGTGAGGCTGCACCTCCTGCCTCACACTGGGATGCTTGTAATAGATGTAATCCTTTGCTTCTAATGAAATTTAATATTTATTTATCAAAAAAAAAACACCTCCCTTCGACACATTGCTTAACTAATATGTCATCATGATTATACCTACTTTTATACAACTATGCATTGCACATGCAAATCATCCACCCATCGATTCCACAGTGCACGACCAAAACCTACTTCCACTACTTTATTCAAAACTAAGCTCAGTTGTTTAAATTATCAATGCAGTCCAACATCTTGTTCTAGGTAAAAAAAAGGATCAAGCGCTCAACAGTGATTTAAAAACACAAGGCAGGATACAACCACACCAAAAAACCTTATTTTAGGATTCTTTATCAAACTTCAACTTAAATTTATTATCATCAGCAGGGCTAGAACCAATTTGCAGTTAAAATCTTGTTTCAAATGGATCTTTCCTAAAACAAGTTTAAGAAGCATACAAAGAAAGGTAGATCTTTGGTACTAAAGATGTAGCTGGCCAACTTCTCATCCCAATAAGAAAATGATGACTTTGGAGTATGGTATAACACCTGTCCACAAGCAAGAACTGAAAAACATGATAAAATAGTATAGGTGTAAGCATATCCAAATGGTAGCACCAAAGAATTCTAAGCAAACTTTGAGAAGAATGATATATTACTTGACTTTCCACACTTGTATCTGCAACTGGAGCCAAAGCCTCTATAACAGGGGCCAACATAGTTTCATCTATCTCTTGAAAATCCCTGCAGGTAAAAGAAATAGATAAATTTAACCAAGTGTTGAGAGATTTTATTAAAAGAGMAGAAGTACAATAGAGCCCCCAAGGATAACCCCTTGGCCAGGGAGCAGCCCCCACTAATCAGGGACATTAATGTAATTGTGTTGTTTTAGTTATATCAGTTAACGATGAAACAAGGGGGGCTCGCATTGGTGCGTATGACTGAGAATTCTTTCTCCCCGTTCTCTTGCCCTCCCTTCTCTTCTTCTCTTCTACTGATTTTCTCCCTTCGCAATCAGTTTTCTGTTCTATTTCTTGTTTTTGGTACAAGATAAATCCAAGGATTCATGTGTCTACTAATTATTATAATTTCATTGAGAAAGGAAAAAGTGCACTAACATGAAAGAAAAAGAGCACAAACAAGAACTAGGAACCCCAAACAACAAAAGAAGGATTCAACAACAGACCTCAAGGAAGCATGATAAAAGGGAAAAAAAGAATATACAAATTAACCACAGAAAAGATGATCCTAAAAGTAACTCCCCATTACTGCTTCCATGAGATGTTCTCTACGGAACCTAGGGCTCTTTATCCCTAATGAGGATGACTCAATCAACAAGGACTAACTAAGTCATCTCTGGTCCAACAAATAATCACTTGGAATCACCATCCACTTCCACATGCTCAATCGCAACAAAAATGTCAACTCGAGAACCTGCGGTTAGGGCTGTCAATGAACTCCAAAAGTCCAAAACACAATCTGACATTTGATCCAATTATTTTGGTTTCAGGTGTTAAAACATGTATCCATTTAATAATCAGATCAGATGTGGATTTGACCCCATCAAATCTAGATGATGATGAGGATGAGGATGGTGAGGATGATATTTTATAAAGTTTTTATAAAAGAAGGAACAGTAAGACCTCTGAAACATCAGATTCGGTTGATAATGAGAACTCTCAGAATACCTCGGACCCGGGTAAGCAGCTGGGGACTGGTCATCTTGTTGGTGCTCCTAAAAAGAATTCCAATTTTGGTGTTAGAGAACCTGATAAATGTCTCAAAGAGGAGGTGGAGAAAACCAGTGTTTTCTCTTTCAAGGCAGCGGCTAGAAAGGATGTAGAAATTGGTAAAATCTTGGGTTTGTTTTTCTGGGGAGGTGAAGATTTCACCTTAAAAGCTTTTGAAGAGTTTGARAGGAAGAAGAAGGAAGAAAGATCGAGAAAAGGGTTAATTGGAGGAGGAAGATGGGACCAAGATGGTGACAACCAAGAGGAGGCTTTTGATGGGGAAGTTTAGCTTATCTCTTCTGTCAATTTCTTTTGTGCCGTGTGAAGTTGTCCTTTTGTTTTTGGTCTAGTTTTTGGAGATTAGAGGTGTGATCTGCAGCCTGCTTATGTGGATTTTCTTTCTTTTTTTGGTAAAAATAAATAAATAAATAAGCAGAGTTTAAGGAGAACTGGGAGAGAGAGAGAGAGACCTCTGTTGGTTATTGCTTCTTGGCACCTTTCTTTTTTTCTATATGATTAATTATTCCTATGTTGACCTTTATTGCTTACCAGTTGTCATTTCTTCCAATATGGTAGCCAAGCCTCTAAAAATAAAAGAAATTGACCTCGCACATAAGTAATTGGATGTGAGTTTAGTTATGTAAATTGTCATTGAAGGTCTTGAATGAAAGGTTTTGTACAATGTTGAGGTTTTATGTAAATGTTATACTCCATTCTAACTGTACACTTATTTATTCTTTTGTCTGACTGAATTGCCCTTTTAAATGAAGATAGAGATAGATGAGCAACACAGAATGCTAAGAGAATTTCAAAAACATAAAGAGCTATTGGGACTGATTCCCCCATTAACTGATTTTGCTTGCATCATGTATAACATTTTCTTTATCGAATATGACCATTTCTTTGAATTGCATTTGATGTTACAGTGGACTCTCTTCTCATTCGATGTTTCATTTTATGATTTTCCCTTGAATAAAAACTAAAACTAAGAGATGGTCTGTTGTATAATTTTTGTATAACAGGTTGACAAACTTTTACCTAAAGAGATCAATGTGATTAATTCTTAGCTAGCATACATGTCTCAGCTCATGTATTATTTTTTTAATGATTTCCTACATTTTGTGATAATTCATGTCATCTCCACTTTACAGTTGCACTACTAACATTTATGTTATTTTTTACACAATTCATATTTTGATATAGTGACAGGTGAATGCAACATTAAAACATTGCCAATTTCTAAAAACTACATTTTTCCGTGCATCGCACGGGTCCCCACTAGTAAGATTATAATACCTTATTACTGGATAACTATACATCCACATGTCAAAGAGCATTTGACAATTTACAGCTAACCATACAAACAAAGAAATCAAATTGAATATAACTTATCTAGAATCAATAGATGGAGAAATCAAACCAGCAAATAACTTCCGAGTACTTGGTTATTTCCACTTGTATATAGTGATGTACAATTTTTGGATCTTTTTTTCACAGTGCAACCTTTCAGGTTCACGTCATATAATTGTATTAACATGTTCTTTTCACATCATATATTTGTCATAAGAAAAAAAAATATTCAAAAAAAATGTTGTCTTTCAGATAAGAAAAATAAGGATCAAGTTTCTCACCAGTCATAAATCCAATCATGTGGATCAGCATTTAGAAGGCTGAAAGAAAGAACGACCCTTCCATCTGCACCAACTGGCATGAACTCTGCCCGAACCAACCCTTCTTTCTTCCCACCATTCATAAAGAACTTCACAAAAATATCGGCAGTGATTGAAACCGCATCCATCTCTGAAACTTTACCAACAATCCAAGCGTGTCGATGCTTTCCCACCACAACCCTGGTCTCTTTGTCTCTATTTACCACCACAACAGTGTAAACTTTCCCACTGGAATCCGAACAACCCCCATCTCGCTGCAAAAGAGATTCTAATAGTTCATCAAAAGCCTCATCATCCCTCAAGCTCTCAAGGAACCCAGAAACATCCCCGTTTCCACAACGCCACAAACACCCAGCATCATTTCTATTTGGAATGCAGTCCAAGCTGGAATCAACCATCACCGAAACAGGATAATTATTGCCACAACCACCACAGACCGGATCATTACCGGTCAACTTTCTCATTCGCTCTCGAATCAACAACCCTAGTTCATCCGCACGAGACTCATCGGAATTATGGCCATAAAAACCCAGAAAAACAACCTGAAAACGGCAAGGAAGGGACAAAGGTTTCGATTCAAGATGGTTCAGTAACATATCAATTTCGCGAAATGGCAGTGGTGAACGGTATATCTCTATTGATTTCAGCAAAAACGGAGCACCTACAAACAACAAAAAAATGAGGAGCCATTAAAAAATGCTTTTGAACCCTAGAAATAAAGAGAAGAGAGAGCAGTGTCATCGTCACCTAAGAAGAAAGAGAAGAGAACTGATAGTATCAGAATCAGTCGCTTGAGCCCTGGCTTCGTCTTTCGCATTGTCTTGGGGTCGAAGTCGGTAACAGTTTCTCCATGGGAGGTATTTGTTGCTGTCTCCCGAGCTTCTGAGATTTCCGCCATTGTTGTAAAACAGGAGAACACAACTTCTGAGAGCTGTCGAGTTCTCTCAGGGAGGTAAGTCAAAGTAACTAGCAAAGAAAGCAATGTTTTAAAACCGGAACGCACATGGAGCTGGAAAGCTGCTCCGATCACAGAGGTACGGGCCCGTTTGAGAGGGCCCCAGCTTTTATTGAGCTAACTTTCACTGAACCGCTATCAATAAACCACTAATCGCTTGTTTGGGAGGGCTTTCACGGACCGAGCTTCTCGTTTTGCAAAGTGGGCCTCCCATGGAAAGCCTACAAAGTAAACTATGGTACTGCTTCGACCTGTTCATGGGCCGGGTAGTCTGACGGTCCGGCCYGCACCCCGGTCAGGCTTCGACATGTAACTAGGCCTGCGGGCCTGACCTCGGGCCCAAAACAGCAAGTCCAATTGTGTTTCAGGCCGAGCTCGGGATTTTTCAAAAAAGCCCAATTCGGCCCGACTCAGCATTATATATTTTATAAAATATATAATATGTATTTTATATAATATAAAATATATAATATTTATTAGAATATATATATATTAATAATTTAATATATACATCTTTTATTTTTTCTTTATAATTTCTCTCTCTCTCTCTATAGATATATCATTCAACCACTTCAGCAATAGCAGCGGCATGAGCTAGACTTCGGGCTCAAACCCAAGCCCGGGCTTCGGGCTTTTTATGAGGGTCGGGCTTGGGCCCAAGTTGTAGGCCCAATGGTCG